CCCAAAACCCCAAAACCCCAAAACCCCAAAACCCCGTGCTACTGCCTCCATATTGAAAGATGACAAATATAAATCTGATTTAAAATTTTTATTTTATTATCTTTTAGATATGTCAACGCTTCGCTCTAAATCAGCTGAAGTTGATACTTTAGAGTCTCTGAGTCAGCAACAGTAGTTCTGAGCAAAATTGAGTAAGAGAGAGGATTGTAGGCATTCCTTCTTTGCCCAAGAGAGCTGATTAAAATTAGAGCTCACTGCACTCTTTGACAAGATGCCAGCCATCTGCTCTACATTTTGGTTCAGAGCCATTTGAGACAAATTATGCTGGGCGTTATGTGTCAATCCTCCTATATCTAAGTGACAAAGATGATCATCGAAGAGTATATGGGATATCATAACCTAAGAAATCGCAACAATTTTCACAACCAATTAATCGAGAGAGACATTTTAATTACCTTCCATTGGAAGAATAAACACTCTTGCAGGCTGCAAGGGCAATATGCACTTTGTGTTATCCTCTCTTTTAATGATCTTACAAGGAACGAACATATTGACAACATTTTCTGAAACAGTCATCTGGCCTGTACTCATCTGAAAGTCTGTTTTCGGCTTGCTTCAAGAACTGGGGTCAAGCTTTTGACTCTTCTCATCACTTTGGCCGAGTATTTTCTTAATGGCTCTTAAATCTTTACTTCTTTTGTGAGAAGGATTTAGGTCCTTTTCAGAGTTTCTTGTATACTTCCTAAGTTTACTCATACCAGCATGCGAATGCTCAGACTTTTCCATACTCCTCATCACTTTAGACTTGAAGTACTCCGGAGAACTTGAGTCTCCACTATACTTCTCTTGGTATTTGAGGTCTCTCTTTTTGAGATTTAATTGAGACTCTAGTTTCTGAGTTCTCTGAATTGAATCGCTTTGGTTAAAGAAGGAAGATTCTTTGTTTCTAAGTTGTTCTTGAGAAAACTTTGAAGAATCTAAGCTTTCTTGGTTCTTGTGATGTTTTATTGGAGGCTGAGCTCACTCCAGCTTATTAAACTTATTGAATGGAGGCTGACCCCTCACATTGTCAAGATTGATTTGTATAGGATTTTGAACGCTTGAGCCTTTCTTGATAGTGTTAAATTTTTCCTATACATGAGATTTGGCTTGGTGACTGTTTCTGACTGGAGTCTATATTGTGAGAATATTGAGCATCTTTTTATCAATATTTTTCCAATTTTTACCATGCATTTCTAGTCTTTATAGTTATGAAAAGTTTACCTTTAATGGGCCAGGAGTTCCCATAACTTGTTCGTCTTCCTTCAAGGTTCTTTCTCTTGATTGGAGGATTTTGTGCCTGTGAGAAATAGTTAGAGGCGATTGAAAAGAAAGAAGCAACACAGAGAAAATATTTCAGCTCTATCTCTAGATGATGTCTTACAAATGTAAAAGTCTGGCTGTCAGCTTGTCTGTGTGAATTCTCTTTCAAATTAGTTTTACTCTCTTTCATTCTAAACTTTATGGTTATTTTATGGAAAATGGTAGGATCGCAAAGTTATAAAACTTGTTTGACTGCCATTGAGCTTTCATGGTTGGCAATAAAATCTCTGTTGTCAAACTCAAGCTCTTCCATTGGCTTAGGACCAAGCTTGTAGGTAAAGTTAATAAAACTAAAATTTTGTGTTTTTGCCATAAATTATTAATAATTAACAAGTAGCCATGAACAAAAGTATATATGGCAATTTTTATGGTCGAAATAGTATAATGCCAATATGTGGCATCTTCAATAAACTAAAGTTAACATTTCCGAGCACTTTGGTATTCTTTGCAGCCAAATAGGACCCAAATAAGTCTGATTCAAAATTTATCTTATAAAACTGAAAAATTTATCTTATTTTTAAGTAAAGCTTGAGAGGAGTTTAATAGTCTGCAGGCTGGCAAGAGTTGACGGCTTATAGAATATGAAAACTCTTTACCAAAGAAGTCCTTCCTTAAACCTATGAACCACTTATTGAAAGTTGATATTAATCTCCATGGGTTAGCATAACACCTTAATGTTTAGTGAAGTTCTTAATGGCTTTCAGTGGTATTAGTCTTAGCATTAGGTTTTTTCATGGTTAGTTATGGCAGCCGAAATTAGCACAAAAAAGGTCAGAAAGGAGTATAAAAATTACTTAGAGTTCTCAGACCCAAGGGAATATCGTCATGAAACTAAGCTTACATATAAGTCCTAACAAATGGCTTTAAATAATAAATAAGTTCTAATTCTTTGATAAAAGTTTGAACTTCTTCCACAAATTGCTTTCTTAAATTGACAGAGGTACTGAAAGATCTAACCCAGCTTTGTACATGTTGCCAACTCGAAGCTAGAGATGGGGTTTGTTGACTATTGGAGACGCTCTTAAATTTTTATCAAAGAAATAGAAAATAAGCTGAAGGTGTTTTAGATCAAAATTACTCAGAGCTAATACTTTTTGAGGGATGATAGAGCAAACTGGTCAATAAACTTTAGCATGTCAGAGGATAAAGATCAACGAGATCTTCATTTAGGCTATATTAGTCAGAGTAAATGCGATGTTAAAGCCTTGATATTTGAGTCAGAAGCTTAATGTCTTAGAATTATTACAGTTCAAATTCATCCCATAATGCAAGCTACAGAGGAATCAAGAGTAATCAAGGAAGATCATAGACTACTCTATAGTATTCGATGTATAATTTCTGGTTACAAAAAGCTAGGGATATAGAGTCCTAGTAGATTTCAATGACAAAGCATGCTTCTTACCTTCTTATCTTTATCTCAATATTTTTAATATATAAAGGGGTTTTGGGGTTTTGGGGTTTTGGGGTTTTGGGG